TCTGTATGCTATGCCAATTATTTGAGAAACTAGACTCTATGAAGAAGCATGTGGCATCAGGATTGAAGGAAGATTCACCAAAAACCTGCATTATGCAGATGACACAACAAATGACTAAGGATGACAGAAGAAGAATTGATGCCTTTGAACTTGGTGTTGGAGAAGTGTGCTGAATATCCCATGGACTACTAAAAGAACAAACAGCTATGTCTTGGATTAGGACAGCCAGAGTGCTCCTTGGAGGCAAGGACGGCAAAGCTTCATCTCTCATACTTTGGACATGTTGCTAGGAGAGGCTACTGCCTGGAAAGGGACATCATGCTTATAAAGTTGGAGGATCAGGAACAGAAAGGAAGACCTCACAACGAAATAGACTGACACAGTGATTGCAGCCAAAGTTGTCAGAGATGAAAAAGATGGCACAGGATAGGACAGGGTTCAGGTCTGCTGTTCATACAGTCACCATGAGTCATACTTGACTCAATGGCACTTAACATCAACAACAACTGCAGCAAAACAGTGCCTTTAGTATGGATTACATCTAACAACAAGAAAACAAAAATCCCCACCACTGGATTCAATAGGCAACATCATGATAAATGGAGACAATACTAACGTTGTCAACAACTTAATTTTGGTGGGATCCACAATAAATAGCCTTTGGAAGCAGAAGTCAAGAAATCAGAAGATGCATTGCATTCAAAAAAACCTGCTGCCAAGGGCCTCTCCAAAGTGCTACAGAGCAAGGATATCAGTTTAAAGACGAAGGTGTGTCTGATTCAAGCCATGGTATTTTCAATTGCTTCCTATGCATTTCAAAATTGGATAACGAACAAAGTAAAAGAATAATCAATTTCTTTGAATTGTGGTGTTGGTGAAGAGTACTGAATTTACCATGAACTGCCAAATAAACAAACAAATCTGTAACTCTGTCTTGGATAAAGTGCAAGGAATATGTTCCTTAAGAGTAAAGGACCATGGAACTTCATTTCAAGAACAAGAACAAGAAAGTCTGAAACAGTGACTGCTGTAAAATGGGTTCACACATGCTGATAATCTTGAGGATGGTGCAGGGTTCAGATCCATTGTTCACAGAGTTTCTATGAGTGTAGTCAACCTGACATCAACTAACAAAACTATATGCCAGATGCTACGGCAGGCAGTAAACATACAAAAATGCCTAAGATGCACCACTTCCTCAAAAAGCAAAAATATAGCAGTAATACAGAGAAAAAGCTAAACTGTACTGATATTTGTATAAGACTTGTAGTATTTCCAAAGAATATGAACTTTAAATGGGCTGTTTTGGGCTTCCAATAGTAATGTGAGCACAGAGCACATTCCTGTTATACAGATGGAGAAATGAAGTGCAAAGTGGATCGGGGTGTCTATTCAGGTCATCTCCAGTGGCAGCAAAATGCCTAGAAACCAAATATGTTTACTCTAAGATGGTTATTTCCTCCCTGAATGGAAAAGGCAGATGTTCTTTCTATGTTCAGTTGCCTTCTGACCAAGAGCACACGTTTTGCAAGACAGTGGATGGCACAATCTGTGACTCTGGAAGCAAACTTGGTTGGCCCTTGAGGACTCATCAGTTAAGGTGAGTTATTCAGCGGCTGAGCAGCCAGACAAGATGATACCATGATTACTAGCATTCCAAGGTGTCCATTATGTATACATATAACAGAAAGAAATGGCCCTGACTTCAGGGAGTTAAGACTGTCGAGAACCTACATATAAACAGTTCAACTGAAAGTGACATAATCAAACCACAACAACAAAAGAAAACCACTACCAGTAACTGCAAATTTAAGAACTAAAAAGTTCTGGCAGAACAAACCGAATGGGTGCTGCCAAAAAATAGATTCCTCAAGAGTTAAACAGAGAACAGATTTGTAAAAGGAATGATACATAGTTATCTTTAGATTATTAAAATAAAGGCTCTTCAAAAATAATAATCCCATTAAAACCACAAACTTCTTAATTCCTTCATTTCACTTTTCATCTTTATAGATAATAATTCTGTGACATCCTACTTCTTGGTTTCTAGGAAGGTTACAGACTTGGCAGCCCTTGCTATCCAGGGACACCTCATGAGCAAAGCAAGGCTCTGGGGAAAGCATACTGTGCTTTCACTGCCCTATTCTGCCAAGGTCCTTTAGATGTATCTCAAATCTATACATCATAAAATCTGTACAATCAGCCAACAATCACATCAGCAAAACAAAAAGGGGTGAGGGAAGGCATGTTTTTTATTTTCTAATCAAGTTGTAAACATTTATTTCACTTCTTTGATAACGTCTTCTTCCATGTTCTGTTATTGTCAGCCGCCCTGAGCTGACTCCTGCGGAGCCCACACACAGCACAGGGACATTACAGAAGTCGCCCCTCCAGTTCTTCTTGGCAAGTTTTCAGAAGCAGATGACCAACGCTTTCCTACCTGGCCATCTTTGCCTGGGAGTCCACCGAAACTTGGTCAACATCACAGCAACATGCAAACCTCCACTGACAGATACAGTGGCTGAACATGAGGTGCACTGGCCAGGACCCAAACTCTAGTCTCCAGCCTGGAAGGGGAAATTTCTACCACTGTTTCATGTTATTTAGACAGCTATTTATAATGGCTGTATAATATGCTCTGAGTGCTTTAAACCCTAGTGCACTGTCAGATTATTAACTAAACAGTTTACAAAGTTAAGGAATAACAAATATTAGTAATTTTTAAAAGAAGAACTAATGGAATTCCTTTAAGAACAAGCTAAAAAAATAACTTCCAAAGAAGTAATGTAATTATCATTCATTTCAAAAATCAATTCTCAAGTAGCTCCTGAATATTCTTAGGGGATTCATACTAACAGTCAGCTGCCTCCCTTTTTAAATACTTGGTGAATTTTATAGGATGACAACCAACAATTTAAATGATAAGTCCAACAACCACATGTTTCATTCAAATTATTACCATTAGCACATCATAAAATTTTCTGATGATATTTTCTAGTGTCTGAGACTTAGCTCAGAAGAAAGATGGGCTGTCTCTTCCTGCTAAAAGTCACAGCCTAGGAATCTTGACAGGAGGTCACTACGAGTCGTAACCAACTTGACAGCAGGGAATTTGTGTTTGAGAAGATTTAGTTCCATCACAGGAATAGATATTTTAACAAGTAACAGTTTAAAATATAATTGTAAAATGGAACAATTAAATTTTTTTTTTAGGAGAGAAATTAGGTCTAATTAATCTCAATTGTCTCAAGAGAAGTCCAAACTGGATCTGAAAGGAAACTATGAGGACAGTAATGAAACATGTAGCAACAGTGACATCTAGTGCATACAGCTACAACCTAACTCGCTCACTCATGCAGGGACATCTGACTAGACTTCTCACTGGGCCTCCAGTGGCAGTACAAAGGCTACAAATCGCAAGTTGGAGATAACCATTTTTCTCCACAAAGCAGCAGGTAAAATGGAATGAATTGCTGGCAGTACAACTCCTCACCCACCAGGCCCCAGAGCTCCCTGCCACCTCCAAATCCACTGTCAGCTGATTCCAACTCAAAGAACTGTCCAAGGAAACCCTGAGGTGTGCATTTTTTTTTTCTATTTCAATGAACATCTACAGAGATTTTGGAATTCCATTCATTCATTGTTGCACTTCTCTCCCCGCCCACTCCCCACACCCGTTCGCTCCTCTCCTTGAAAAGCAAAAGAAAAACTCCTTCATTGGTACACAATCCCCCCACCACAGACCCCCGCCAACCCTACCCCCACCCCAAATATAATCCACTCTGCAACCCTCATTCCGTACTCTTATGATAAACATAATGCCCTAAAATATAATACTTTTAAACTATTCTCTCCCTCACAGACTTCAATGCAGTAAACATAATTTATCCAGCTTTTCTCAGTCTTACGCCCACCCGGATGTCAGCCTCATTCTACAACAGTGGCACTATACAGCATTTGTCCCTTTGTGACTGAGATATTTCACTCAGTATCATGTCCTCCAGAGTCACCCATTTTGAATAATATTGCATGAGTTCCTTGTTTTTCAACGCAGCATAGTATTCCAATGTGTGAATGAGGTGTGCATTTTTTTAATTAATTAATTTATTTCTTTTTCATTTCAATGAACATCTACAGAGATTTTGGAATTCCATTCATTCATTGTTGCACCCTTCTCCCCGCCCACCCCACCTCCACCCCTACCCCCCAGGCAAGGACTACCCATCATTTCTCCTCAGATTGTCTGGTCCATTAGAACCATCAGCTTTTTTTTAGCACCCTGACATATTATACACTACACAATCCAGGTTCTTCATGAAATCCTCTTCAGTCCTAAAGAAACACCTATTCAAAGTTTCTTTTACAACAAGCTAACAAAAAAGAACCTGTACATTAAAACTACCCATAATAAAATACTTCTACTGAGTTTCATCTGGGAGTTAAAACAAACAAACAAACAAACAATATACCTGATTAAGAGAAAAACATAATAGTAAATCTAAAACTTGAGGATAAATAAATATAAAGATCATGATTTATTGTGCGAACAAGATGTATACGGTTTCCCTTTCTGACAGGGTTTAATGGAAAGGCAATCTGGACATGTCCTGATACGTGCATCATAAACATTCAAACTTCCAGCTATAAAAGCAAAGCTCAGCACACAAGTCAGTACCTGATGACATAACAAGGAGAAGTAATTTCAGGCATTTCAGAAATACTTCAAGAAGATACAAAGAAAAGGGGAAAAAGCTGTAACTGTTGCACTGGAAATAAGCACTTCATTTCAGACTGTGCTACTTAGCTATATTCATTGCTCTGAAAGACCCATTTATTTATAAGTAGCTATTTTTGCCCAAGGACTTAGTTAGGCTTTGGGTAAATTACTACCATATTTTCATAGCTTTATGCTTTTTCTGATCTATAAAAGCAAGGAAAATTCTGAAAATTAGTTTTGGCACGACAATGTTTTATAAAAAGTAACATTAGATATGACTTACCTGTTTTTCTTGGAAAGTTCATCTTTTGCCCTCTTAACTCCAAAAATTCTTGTGATCAAGGTACTAAAGAGAAGCGTAGAGGAATTTCTCACCTAATATAATAATAAACATACAGTAAGGGTTAAGAAAAGATTCATGGCAAGAGACAAACATTTATAATGTTCCAAATAAACATTTCAAATCACATGGGGTCCTTAAGAGACAGAACAAAAGTGTTAGCAAACGACCACGACCATCACTTAACTGGCTAGTAGAGCACTAAAAGAAATGTGGTTTATGTTCATAAAACATATTTCAAAAGATTTCTGGTAATTGAGTCAATGGCTGCCTTTTTATCAGAGCTCTATTGCCAACTATGCACAGAATGCAGCCTTTCCTACATTTCTAGTATCACTTCCACTGTTTTCATTAACTCTTTGTACTTGTATCATCAAACAATATTTCTTAAAAAGAAACCAAACCCAAAAAATTCCTTTTTCCATATCCTTCTTGATGAAGAATATCCTAGCAAAGATCTCAGTTTTCCATTCCATTTCTGTAATGATTTGTTATGAGAAAATATTTCTAAGATCCAGTGTCAAAGATATTTTGGCAAAATACCATGTAATATCTAAAATGTTAACCTTACAATGCCAATGGTGTAATCAATTCATTAAAAAAAATTTTATTATACTATTTTATTTACAAAATTCAAATACATTGTTTCTCACACCAGTTCCTTCCCATTTCCCTAACCCCTCCATCAAATTGTGCCACCCCATGATTAATTCCACTCCCCTCCCCCATGTTCTTTCTACAATAATGGTTTTATACATTATTTGTCCTTATGGAACTAGTTCACTCAGCATAATGCTCTCCAGTCCGTTCTAAGTTAGATAATAATTTATAAAATTACTGCTATTGCATAGTATTCCATTGTGTGAATGTATCATAATTTCCAAATGCATTCCTTTTTGGCTGGACATCTGGGCTGTTCCCATGTTCTTGGGATGGTGAGTAATACTACTATGAACATTGGTATACAAGTCTCCATTTGTGGGGAGCTCTGGTGGCCTAGTGGCAGGGAGCTGCAACTACAATCCCAGAGGCACACGGTTCGAATCCACCAAATGCTCTGCCGGGGAAGGAGGGACAAATCTCCTCCTGTACCAGTCAGATCTGATTTGACGGTACACTCACACAAAAAAAATAATAAAAAACAAGTCTCCATTTGTGCTTCAGTGGAATAGCTGGGTCATATGGAATTTCTATCTTCAATTTTTTGAAGACGTGCCAAATTGCCTTCCAGAGTGGTTGGACCATTGTTCAATCCCACCAACAATGTTCCTATCTCTCCACATTCTTTCCAACATTTATTGCTTGCTGTCATGTTAAACTTTGCACTGCTGCTGGAGTGAGATGGTACCTCATTGTGGTTTTGATTTGCATCTCTCTTATTGTCAGTGATCTGGAGCATTTCTTAATATGACTGTTAGCCATTTGAATATCTTCTTCTGTGAAAACTCTTTCCATGTCTTGCCCATTTTGTAAACGGGTTATCAATCTTCTTTTACACAGACCCAGGAATATTCTGTAAACTTTCATTATGAGATTTTTTTATTGCCATGATGAGGTTGCTGGTACTGTCAAATGTTTGTTCCCAGTCAATACATTTTCTTTTCTCCCTGTTGGAAAAAGTTTTTCCTTCTGGAAAAAGTTTTTCCTTTGGAAAAACTGGGCTGCCACCTGCAGAAAGCAGGAACAGTATCCACATTTCATACCATACAAAAAAAATCAACTCAAGATGGGTCAGAGACCTGGGAGTAAAGCCCAAAGCCATAAAGTTCATAAGAAACAAACTAGGATCAAGTTAAAAGGCCTATCTACAGCATAAAGAGACTGCCAAATTCAGCCAGAAATGCACAATCTGAAGAGGATAAAAACTGATGAATGATCTATGATGAATGTTGCTGTTGTTGTTGATTGTCATTAACTTGAGCATGATTCATAGCAAGCCTACGTACAAAAGCCTGAGCATTTCTGTAACTATTTTCATAGTATCAAAAACTTTTTCTAATCAAGTAATTTTATCCCTAAAATAATCTGAGGCAATGGCTTAATTAAAAGTAAGAAGGAAACTTTCATTATAAAGACAACTAATTTGTCCAAGATTATAACAACAGAGTGCATTTATTTCTAATCCAAACTGTCAAGACACTTTGGACACAAACCAATCTAAAATTGGGGCAGGGGGAGATCATGGCATATTAAAAAAAAATTCTTTCAAGTAATGACATCTTGGGCTTCCTCAAATACTCTGCCAGGTCTGAATAGTGATATATAAATATACACTAACTTCCCTAGAGCATTTTAAGCCCTATGCCAACACCAAGGATCATGTTAAAACAACAGAAAATAGACTTACCAGCCAACATAGAGCCCATATTCTAATATGACAGGTGTTATTATCACATGATGTGCTACATAGTCCTATAAGAAAGGTAATCAATGGAATAGAATTGAGAACCTGGAAATCAGCCCATCTACCTAAGGGCAACTGATTTTTGACAAGGAGATTAAATCAGTGAGGAAACAACACCTTTTTAAACAAATGGTGCTGGCAAAATAGGAAAACTATCTGCAGAAAACTCAAGCAAGATCCACACCTCACTCCATATACAAAAACTGACTCAAGGAGGATCATGGACCTAGGACTAAAACCAAGGACTATAAACTTCATTAAAGAAAAGATTGGAAGACCTCTAGAAGTCCTAATCCACAACATCAAAAGTCTTCCAAGCATCCTGAAAAATCTACAACCAGTAGAGGATAAAATAGATGAATAGGACCTTCTAAGAATAAAATCCCTATGTACATCCAAAAACTTCTCCAACAGGATAAAAAGGGATGCCAGAGACTGGGAAAAACTATTTGATAATTACATGTCAGATAAAGGACTTACATCTAGAATTTAGAAAATACTTGGACACCACAACAAGATAAAGGTAAACAATCCAACTGAAAACTGGGCACAGAATATGAACAGACACTTAAGAAGACATTCAGATGGCCAACAAACACATGAAGAAAGGTTCAAAGTCCCTACCTCTAAGAGAGATGCAAATCAAAACAACTATGAGATATCATCTCACCCCAGTGAATGGCAAAATTTAACAGAACAGCAAACAACAAATACTGGTGAGGCTGTGGAGAAACTGGAACCTTTATTCACTGTTGGTGGGAGGGCAACCACTATAGAAGGCAGTATGGCACTTTCTCAAAAAGTTGCAAACAGAAATACCATTTGACCCAGCAATTCCACTAGTGAGAATATATCCCCCCCAAAATAAGCAGTTATATGCACACTTACGTTTACCGTGGCTTTGTTCACAATAGCAAAGAGTTG